CTAACTTTAACTTATGATTTGAAAGTAAGTGCCACGTGGGTTTTGGCAGTTGGAACTGTCATGATATTAAGGAGGGATAAGTTATTGCAAACCTAGACAAGATGTAAGTCTTCCTAAATATGGAAACTCTGGCATGCAGCAGTAGGAGTGGGCCACAGAACATGATTCTAATGATGACTGTCAATTGCCACATTTCAGGATTTGGGACAGGCTTGCCTGGGGCAGATGTGATGTTCTCTTCACTTTCCTCCCAGCCTTAGTTTTAAATATGGAAAATGTAGCATCTCTCCCCATGTTTCTAGCACATTGATTTCCTAACTCAAAATATGTCAAGACACCCCTGAAAAGTTTCAGTGATTCGATTTTTTTCTCTCCAACACAGAGAATTCCCCCCATCTTACTTGTATGATACTGTGAGCACCTCCAGTTATTCTTGTGTGATTTTCGATACTTCTTTCTTTATAATAGAGTGAAATTATTTTAATACAATCAAACAATTCTACATGCTTGTCAAGTATTTATAAAAATCAATTTATGGCCGGGCATGGTGGCTCACAACTGTAATCCCAGCACCTTGGGAGGCTGAGGCAGGTGAATCACTTCAGGCCCCAAATTCAAGACCAGCCTGACCAACATGGTGAAACCCATTCTCTACTAAAATCACAAAAAATTAGCCGGGCGTGGTGGTGCATGCCTGTAATCCCAGGTACTCCAGAGTCTGAGACAAGAGGATCTCTTGAGCCTAAGTTGCAGTGAGCCGAGACTGCGCCATTGTACTATACAGCCTGGGTGACAGAGTGAGACTGTCTCAAAAACAAACAAAGTCAATCTATTCTATGTAAAGACAATCAAATCTGTCTTAATTTTTTAAAAAAAGTAACCAAAAAATGTTGAGTGCTAATGAACAGGAACCAGGCGGCGTTAAATGAAGCTGGGGTGTGCAGTGTGCGCCTACGACCCTCAGGGACTTCACGAAGCCAACCGCAACGCTGGACGCAGGAAGAGGCAGCTCGGCTTGCAGCTTCCTCTGCAGAGACGCGGCTCTCGGCCCCACTCCTGCCTGGGGCCTCCTCCGTGGCCTCTGCTGCCCGTCCGATGTGACCTGCCTCTTACACTTTCTTGTATCAAGTATGGACTGAAGGGGGAAAATGTGGGACCTCTTTAGCTTGGAGAAAGCTATCCGGAGTTCACAGCAGAAAGTTGTCAGACTGGAGACCTGCCACGTGGAATAGAGATCCAACTGTCCCCTGTTATTACAGGAGAAGCCGAAGTGGGACGTCAGAGGGAGGAGGAATCCGACACAATTGTTTTTTTAAAAAATTATTCTTTTCTTTGAAAAAGCCTGCAGTCCCATCAGTGGAAAGTTTGGACCTGAGATACATCAGAGAGGACAGTCTCGTTTTGCCGTGCTGGATGTAGTGCCGCTGACATTCCTGTCTGTGCAGTGACAAAAACACCTTCCTCGGGCTTAGCATGTGTGTGTGTTTGTGGCATTGCTGCGAGCCTTCGTGGGGATGGTTTAACTCACAGCACTCAGGACTCAGACACCTGCTGACGATGAGGCTCAGCTTATTAGTTACTAGAGTTGGTGTTTGAGATTGAACTCTTATTACTTTGGTTTGGACAGGATTCTGTTTTCTGCCTTTCCAGGCTTGGTGACTGTGGGTCGGTAACATGAAGTTGCCATTTAATAATTACCTGCTCCACAGCACAGAATAATGACTTGCTTCACACATGCAAAATACAAGCAGCTCTGTCTTTCTTGTACCTTATGTTAAAGAATGTACAGAAAGACTCATCACTTAAGATGATTCTAAAATATACATTTTTAATGAAGAATGAAAAATGCATGCAGATCACGTTTACTTACAAGTCAATTACGTATCAAAATAATACGTTTCAATGTCTGCACAGTATGTATTCACAAGCATTTCTGTCCCTTGCACTGATTCGTCAATAAAGTAAACTAAAATATCAGCTTAGCTGAAATAATGTTTTTGATGCTGAGCAAGAGAGAGCTGTCCTTGAGTTCTGATAAATCTCAGCATGACGTAGAGAAAAGCTGAGACTGGGCTGAGCCGAGGCTGCTCAGGCACTGGAGGGCTGTGTGGCCCCAGCAAGCTCCTCTGCTGCTTGTTTCTCTTCTCCATGACCCTGTCCCTTCCTGAGACTCATGCTCATCCACCAGGCACAGCGGGGGGCAGGCACCCCGTTCGGGTTCAGCTCCTGTTCATCCCACCCATTCCCCATCATTGCCTCAGAGGGACTTCAGTTAGAAAGCCCACATCAATGTGGAAATCATTTTCCTTTACACTCACATAGGTTTTCACATCAACAGCAGGTGTGGATGGTACTTCAACAGTACCGTGAGGTCACTGAAAGTGGTCATAATTTGGTTAGAATTCAGAAAAAAATTAAAACCTGCAGATTTTCAAAACGGAAAGGAATTCATACGTAAAAGTTTATAATTCTTGTTGAATGATTTTCTCTGTGAATTAGGAACTCACATTCACAGAAAATCAATGGCTGAAAAATTTGGCAAAAGGAAATTATATATATATACACTTACATATATATGTGTTATATATATACTTATAATATGTAATTTGCTTTGGCCATGAAATCCCCAAAGTCTCACACGTACTTATCTCTACAACTAGCCATGGAAAGAAACAGCTCTCCTGACGATTACCAAGTCCCAGGAACTCCAAATGGATGGGTTTGTCTCCAACAGTTCCAGAGTTTGGTGGGATCTTCTTGAGTCTTTGGTGTTTGCATGTGGCTGAAGCAGCAGAGACCTTGCCAGACACTATGCTTAGGGTGGTCTGCAGGGACCTTCAGCTGACCTGCTTGGAACTAGTACTGGCACATGCTGCTCAGTGCTCACAAGGACATGTACGGGGGGCAGGTCCCACGATGCCAGATGATTGAGCAGAGATTTTTGTATCCACCATTAGTGGGTGAACGGTGACACTGTGACCTCAATCAGGCGGCAGGACACAGGCTGAGCTGGGTTCCAGACTGAGCACCGCCCCGTTTGGCCATGTCAGTGGGCCAGGGCTCAGAAGAGCTATGTTCAATGGTTGTTTTGAGCCATTTTATTGACTTCACATTTATTAAGCACCCCCTCAGCAGCAGGCACCGGTCTAGGCCTTGGGTGCATCAGAACAACACAGACAGAAATCCCCACCCTGGCGCAGGGTCAAGCTCGCTGGATCTCTGGATCTGACACCGGAAAGCATCGACAGCTGGAAGATGTGTCCCACTGAGCACAGTCAAGGCTCGACCCTCAGTGTTTATATCATTCTTTTCTGATTATGAAAGAGTTGACCTCATTTTTTTCCCCAGTTGTCAGTTCGAAGCATGATGGTGTGTAGTGTGCACTCCTAAGTGAGATGACACAACCTACCTGCTGCTTCTGTTTATTCACCTTCCACCTCAGAGCTCTGGGAAATGCACTTTAGAACCAGCTAGCATTATAGAATCACTGCATTTTAGTAAAATGTGACATATATATCTATATATACACACACACATGCATATAAATATATACATATAAAGCACACATATATATAACACATATACATATATATGTGTATGTATTACATTTCAAGACTGATATTAGATTTAGTATTTTATATATAAAGACTGATTTATATATATATTATTTATATGTAAGTGTATATAAATAACAGATATAGTTATACATAAAGACTGATTTTATACACAAAGACTGATTTTGGATATAGTATTTTATATATAAAGACTGATTTTTATACATATATTATTTATAGGTAAGTATACATAAGTAAAGCTATGTTTATATGTAAAAATTGATTTTATGTATAAAGACTGATTATATACTATTTATATGTAAGTATATGTAAATAACAAATATATTTATATGTAAAGATCGATTTTATATATAAAGACTGATTTGGAGATAGTGTTTTGTATGTAATGTAAGAATTATTAGACCTTAATCAATTCCACCAAGTTTGTTACTAACCACCAGTCTTCTGTGATGGCTCCTCTATCTTTTTTTTTTTTAAGTTACCACCACGGTTAAATTTGCTTCGATCTAGACTCAACCTCAAATGATGTCCTGGGGCGCTCACCTGCATGGTAAGGATCTGCAACCTGGCACAATCTTAGTGTGTGTGAATGTGAGTGCAGGTGTATGAGAATGTAGGTGTGTCTGTGTGACTGTATGTATGTGAACAACTTCGTGAGGTATGAATAAAATCTCTGAGATAATTGTTTAAGACCCCAAATAAGCAGCTTTGCTATTAAATGTCCTTCTTCATATTATGGATAAAAATTCTGGACCAAGGTTAGTTTTGTCCCTTTAGAAAAAAAAAAGGCAATATTTTATTTTTCTTTTCTAAGAATATGTGGCAGTCTCTTCTTATTCTGATCACTGAAAAAGTTACCAGGCAATGGCTACGTCGTCCCCACGGCCCGTAGACTGACTAGTAACAGCAGTGTTCTTGCAGTCTGCAGACTCTGGCCTCAGCTCAGAGAGGTGTCTTCCTGTTGTGTCCTTTCCGGCCGTTTTTGCTTTGTCTGGCCTCCGCTTCTTCTTTGGTGGACTCCTTGGGGACATATGAGCCACAAATAAATCCCCGGTCACAACCTATGGGAAAGCGTCTTAATCCAGCCTGTCCGTTTAAGCTCAGGGCTGATTGGGAAAGGAGATCCCAGAGAGTTTTTAATTTTTCTGTATTTATTTCTTTTTTTGAAAAATATGTACTTCACTTTTTTTCATCAAATAATTTAAGGTAGCTAGTAAAAAAGAACTCTTTTTTTTCTAAAAGTGTTAACAATTTGAATATTAGATTTCACCTTTACAAATAAAATCGACCATTTTTTATTTTTTTGTATTTTCATGACTCTAACTTCAGAGACTATTAAGGAAATCATTCCTAAAAGATGAACATAATATGTATATGTTTTAGGCAAAAGCTGAAAAACAAAAGATTATAGAATTGAAGGCAGTTATGGGATTTTTAAACAAACTGATTTCCTTTTTAAATGCTGGATACATTTTAATTTTTTCAGAGATGAAAAGAAAAGGCACTGAAAGAAGCCAGCCATGCGCAGGTTGGGAGGGGCTCCACGGGTACCATGCTCCCAGCCGCAGCCCTTGCTGCACTCTGTATCCAGTGGGTCCATATTTCTGTGGCTTCTTCTCCAGATTCTTCGCCCACTTGAATGTGACCCAGCTCTCTTGTACACGGTATTCTGCTCTCAAAAGTATACACTTTATTTGGAGAGAGGACAAATTGCTCACCTATAATTGACCTATTCTTTCCATGGCCATGATCTTCTTTTTACTGTAAAAACAATTGGCATAAACTCAAACAATTTACTTAGAAGCAAATACTGCAGTAAAATTTCCCATTGATGCTGAGTTGGGATGTAACAAAAATATCAGTGCAATGTATTGACAGTTCTAAACACTTCCATATGTTTTTCTATAGGCATTTTTATGATCAAAGGAATGCAAATTATTTATTAGTATTATATAGGCAAGCTCTTTTTGAAAAGTTTTAAAGAAACATTTATCATCTTAGCAAAACCACAAAAACATTTTCCATAGCATGGGAGATGTCCATTTATCAACCAAGATTTATCAGCCACATAAATTAATAGCTTTCTTGGACTGATACGTTAGTCTTTAGTGAAATTAGTCTTTAAGTTTTAAAGCTGTAGAATACTTGCTGAACCTCCCCTGAATAAAATCATGATTATGCTCAAGCTGCTATTTCCCCCTTCTTCATTTATTTCTTCTGGAATCCTTCTGGAGCGGTCAGCACATGTGCCTGTCACACACTTCTGAAGTAGCCTCCACTTTAACTGCCTGCATCTGAGATTCTCTTTGGAGAACTTCCCTGCAAAGGCCATGGTCTGCAGATTGAAAGAACACTGCACTTACTAGTCAGCCTATAGGCAATGGTGAATATTTGATCATTGTCCGTAACTTTTTCAATGATAAGAATAAGAAGAAACTGCTATACATCCTTAGGAACGAAAAATAAAGTACTGGATTTTTTTTTTTTTTTTCTAAATGGACAAAAATAACCTTTGTCCAGAATTTTTATCCAGAGTAAGCCCGAGTCCCTGGGGATGGACCCCTGCTCACTCCCTGCTGGGAGGCCCAGCCCAGGGCTGCCTGAGGCAGGGGAGGAACCCAGATCCACTGTCTGAGTTTGAAGAAGCTCAGAAGCAGGCCTGCAGTCCAGACCCCTCTCCGTGGGGCCAGGCTGAGGCTGGCACTCTGTCTGGACTAAGCTCCTCCTGGTGTCCTCCCGTCCCTGTCCTGCTCCCTCCACACCTGGAAGTCATTCCTTAATAATCAGCATGTGCATACACTGCCTGTCTCAGGGGGCACTCTGGGGAATGTGACCCAGAAATCATGCAAGATGCTAGATGTTAAAAATTTAAAGTAAATTTTTCTCACAATGTCAAAAATCGTAATCTTGTGTCTCACTGATACATTCTTAAGAATATGTGATAAAGTAAATTAAAAAAAAAACTTTAGTGTTTTAAAACTTGCTCAATAATTTTTTGTGCAATATTTACCTCTGGTTGGAGAAATGCGTTTTCTGGAGAAGACAGGAAGCCACTGGGGAGGTGATCTAGTGGAGCTGAAGAGGCACCATCGTCCACCTTTTGAGGCACAGCCTATTCACACAGCATTTGAATCTCAGAGACAAAGGGAACTTATGGAGAGCAGGAAAAATTTGGAAAAGTTGGCTCAGCCAACCGGAGCACACCCTTGCTACCACCGCTAGGGTGAAATGAAAATATGTTAGCTAGGTTGATCCAGGTTCAAAATTGTTTTAAAAAGAAATTTTCCAAAATGGAAAAATGTCAACCTGCTTACCTATGTGAGGTCAATGATCATAACTGCCTGTCACAGGAAAGCCCCGTTGCTTCGCTCTGGCTGCAAACCAGCACAGTCCTAGCAAGGGGCTTCCTGACACACCCCCATGGAACACATTCATCAGAATTATGTTGCATGCCGTAAATAAATGCTCTCTGCAATCTAGTACCAAAAGCAATTAAGAATTCCTGGGAAAATAAAGGGCAAATGAAGCCACGCAGTAGCTGGCCTTCCATCTGCATTGGCAATGCTAGGGAGAGGGATTGACGTTCCTGGTCGTTCTTCAACATATAAAATTATTGCTGTCAAAGCCTGAGGGCTAAGCCCCTGCCCCCAACACCCGGGGAGCACGAGCAGCAGGTGGGGGGCTGGGCCAGACGCTGTCTTCAAGTGTGATCAGACTTGGGTGGGACAAGCACAACCGTATTCCCTCCTCAACCTTCTCAGCGCGTTCACACACAGCGTTTCTTAATCAAACGTCTACATAAAGGAACAGCGAGCAGCAGACTTTCCTGTTCCTCCCACTTGTCAGTCACTGGAGTATCTGACACCATTTTATGTGGGTGGAATGCATGACAAGTAAGACTTCTTGGAAACACAGTTATTAATTAGTAAGCTAGAATGTCTTATCAGATGCCCTTACTGTCTTCTGACATCACTGGACTTGTCATCAGACATTCCATACTTCTTGCCATAACAAAGTAAATTATTCCCCTAAAGACAGACGTGAAGAAAGTCCAAAGTGAAGGCTGAGCAATTGTCCCTCGGGCTCACTGGTGGCACATACATGCTCCCCTTCCGCTCTCTGGGAACCCCCTCCAGTGCTCAGGCCCCACTCCCCCGAATCAATTCCAGGTGTGGCCCCATGGCCTTGTTTTCCCCACCCCCTGCATCCCTGGGTACCCCACATGGACACTGGAACTGCCCTCAGCACTTTGGACTCCACACACCCTAAACCAGGCATCCCCAAACTTTTTACACAGGGGCCAGTTCACTGTCCCTCAGACCGTTGGAGGGCCGCCACATACTGTGCTCCTCTCACTGACCACCAATGAAAGAGGTGCCCCTTCCTGAAGTACGGCAGGGGGCCGGATAAATGGCCTCAGGGGGCCGCATGCGGCCCGCGGGCCGTCGTTTGGGGACACCTGCCCTAAACCAATCCACTGGCCTCCCTCAAAGCATGCCCCTTCCTCAGGAAAAGACCTCACTGTCTGCTCAGATCAGCTCCCAAACCCAAGACCCGGAATCACTCTAGACTCCTGGCCTTCTCTTCCATTGGCGGGGCACACGCCATTTCCACGTGTGCCTAGGTGACCTGCAAGCGTAGACACAAGGCACCTCTTACCACGGCATCCAGGATGACCGAATGTCTGTTCCAAGCCTCTGGGCTCACACCAGATGTCTCCAGAGCTGGACATGATTTTCCCAGACAGGAGTGGAATGCGGCCCTTCTGCTGGTTTCTCCCTTGTGCGGACAGCCCCTCTGCGTGCCGTAAAGGACGCTTACCTGTCTGTGGTGCAACCCACTCCCAGTGTGACCTGGCAGGATATTAACATGGAACCTCACAACAACTGATTCTGGCTCCCCGCCACATGTGACATACACTGCCAGGCGTGCGGAATTAAGAGATGAGCAGACCGAGGGGTACCCCTCATGTCTGCCTTCAGGGGGCTTCTAACCATCTGCAGAGCCTACAGACCCCTGCCATTTAGAGCTGGCTTCCTGGTTTCCTTCAAGTTCCAGCATCTGAAGGTTTGGCAGGAAACCTAGCAATGAGCAATGAGGAGAAGCAGAGCTTAGCATAACCCCAGGTGAGGAAGACACTCAGCGTCAGGGGGCAAGGGACAACTGTGGAATCCTAGGGAGGCAGAGCATCAGGGCCTGATGAGAGAGAAGACAGAGGACACGCAGCCCACAGGCTCTTCCCCAGGTGTGCCCTGCCCACTCAGCTCCTGCTCACGGTCCCCCGCCCCTACAGGCAGTCAGATGCTGTGTTGGAAACACACAGCAAACCCAGCCGCCTGGCCCACCGCTGGCATACCTTCTAGGGCTTCCTGAAGAGACAGAAAGCTCACCCTCAGCACAATCCTTGGGGGGGGGCTCCCCTGCTCCTACCCCGTCTTGCAGATGTCCCTTGCATGCCATGCTCTGCAGCTCATACTCCTGGCATCACCTCCTGCCACCAGGCCTTTACAGATGCTTCCCCTCTCAGCAGCTCCCCCGTCCCCTGCACAAGGAGCTCCATTATACATCGGCTCAAGTCCACTTTGTCAAAAAAGCTTCCCCGACCTCCCAGACCTGCTGAGCTCCTGGCATCCCAGGGATCTGTGCGGGCTTGTGCCTCCTCTTCCCACACTGTCCATAGTTGCAATTTCTTGTGAGCTCATGTAATATCTAACTCATGCTTGTGTCTCCTCTCACCTATAAAGTCCACAAGGGCAGAGACCACATTCCTTCCAGCTCACATGGAATCTTCAGTGTTCAGAACAGTGCCTGGCACAAGAACATACTGGAAGGGATCTGAGGCCCCAGATCAGACCAGATCTGCAGCAAGGGGACCTTGCAGACACAGGAATGCAAGGGCAGGATTGTATCTTGGTATAAATGAGGTTTTCTGTTTCACTAGCATTGCTTTCTTATAAACAAGCTATGCCCTGAGAGATTCACCTCACTGCGTTTCTAATGCAGAGATAAGAGCGACCCCTCTTTCATCAAAATGGTCTGGAGCAATTTGCACTGATAACTTTCAGACCCTTCTGCTACAGGACTTCCGCCAATTGTTCTGTTTGTTTGTTTTTGAGACAGAGTCTCCCTCTGCCACTGGAGTGCAGAGGCGGGATCTTGGCTCATCGCAATCTCTGCCTCCTGGGTTCGAGTGAGTCTCCTGTCTTAGTTTCCCAGGTTGCTGGGACTACAGGTGCACTCCACCACACATGGCTAATTTTTTTTAATTTTAGTAGAGGTGGGGTTTCTCCATTGGGTCAGGCTGGTCTTGAACTCCTGACCTCAAGTGATCCCCCACCTTGGCCTCTCAAAGTGCTGGGATTACAGGTGTGAGCGACTATACCTGTCCCTTCCATCAATTATTTTAAGGAAAGAATGGAAATGCCCTAATTATGTATGCTGATTATTTGAAATGAAATAGGGTAACTAATAGAACAGCTTAAACACAGATGAAAACTTTAAATCATCTGAATAAAATGGAACAATAGCAATCACTTCATGGCAATATGCAGTTTAACATGGACATATGTCAGATAATCTGTAAAAAGGAGACAAGAAATAAAAGAATCAAGAAAAGAGAGAGAGAGCTAGAAAAAAAATAGGATATATCTAATCCACAGTCAGATATGTGTCTTCAGTACGGGATTCAAACTTGAGTGCATACGGCCCTGAGGTTTCCTCTCCGTGAGTTCTTGACATTCAGAAGATACTTCTATTTTCTCACATTTTCCCCTCATTAAAAGTAGTCAGTGCCATTTGACAATTATTGAAAAAGACCACCCAATAATTCCATTGGGCGTATTTGTATCTATTAGCATGAGTTTTGAAAATGAAAGTATCATAATCTTACCTAATAGGTACTTGTCATGTTTCAGAATACTATGAACAGTTTTTGTCACAGGTGAAGAAATCTGTACGTTAACTCAGTAACCAGAAGGCAGGTACCTGCCGTTTTTGAGGACTACACTGTACAATACAGACCCTGTCCTCCTTTATACATGGGACGTCCGTAACACCTTGAGTGAGCATTTGCACCCAGGAAACTCACCGACTGTTGAGGAACTAGCAGTGTTTGAGTGCTAAATAGAAGACCTCAGGGTCTCGAGAGGGACCCATCCCCTCACCTGAGCCTACAGGTATACTAGCTTCCCTGTGTAGTCTTTCTTAGAAGTGAACTATGTCCTAAGCCCAAATTTACGAGTTTGATTATATTTGATACACTTCGAGTTTTGATCTCCACTGTTTAGCAAGCTCTATTCTATTTTGTCACTTCATCATTAACTCCTTAGAAAACATCTAAATTTCAATTTGCTTCCCTCACCCTTTTCCACTTGTGGAATACTCTTGGTGACCACAGCGAAAGACACACACATTTCAGGTCTCATTTCTTAATATTTACATGTTTTCAAAGTACGTAATTCTCCACTCAGTGTGTGATTTGGCTATATCCCATCTAGAGCTAGAGGTTGCATTTGTCTTGAGCCTAACTCTGTCTTCCTCTTCTTGAGGTAGGAAGGAATTTCTGAACTGTACTGGGCTGTAGAGAAGAATGCAATCAAGAAGCGCTATTTTAACTCTACGCGACACAGTTGAAAGTTACAAATCTATCAAGTTGGAAAGAATTGAGCTTATTAATGTCTTCAAATGCATTTGTCTTAACGTTTACATTACCCTTTGCATGCTTAGAAAAATGGTTCTGCTTGTAATTATCTTCTCATAAAATGTAATCATAAATGGCACTGTAACTCTGAAATAAACCAGAGAAAACCAGAATATTTTATGTGAAATTTAACATTTCACTGTGTTCTTCTTCACCACGCACAAGCTAAAATAATATGTCAGAGATGAATTCGACCATTCTTTAATTTTGACTTTGTGCAGCAGATTTCATGTTATTTAAAAAGCTTTATATTAAAGTCATTCAAACGTGAATAATTGAAATAATTTTTAATGATTGTGCCATTAGAGACTAGACTTACACAGATCTCAAACTGACCTAGTTTTTTTTCTTTCTTTCATCCCTTCATTTTACTGGTGAGTGTAAACAGATTTTCTCTAATTAGATATGTACTTTTCAAGCGATATTGGAAAGTAGTTACCTTTAGCATTTGTTCTTGGCATCTGTCATCCCTGCACTGTCTCGGAGCACAGGGACTTGCCTGTGATGTGTATACAAGGATCTTCTCCACAAACCCCTGTCAGTTCTTCTGCCAGGAAGCCCTTGATGTCTTCTAACCTTTCATTGTGAGGAATGTACATTTAATTACCAGGAAAATGACTATGATGTAATAGGTCAAGACGTGTGCGGCTTCTGCTAAGGAGGGGGCTCCGCGTAGGAACAGTGTTCCACAACGCAGGCACTCTGAGAGACCCTCCACCAGCATCCTGAACACAATGCTGGCCTCCGTTCCTTCCTGCTGGACTGTGCAGTAGTCCCATCAGTGAAACTCTGCCAATTATAAATGATGTAAACATGCTTCAGACACTCAGAAATCTAAACACTCCTCAAATCACTGATTTTGGTATAGCATCAATGATTTTTATTCAGATTAGAAGTTCTTCATTGGAGAGAGTTGGCATCTGTGGTTTCTGATTTTGTGTTTGTGTTTGCAAAGTCCAGGAATGCGTTCAGGCACCTGCAAAGTAACCTGAGTGTAGTGACGAAACAGATTTTTTAAAAATCTTGTATAGTTGTATATGACAGAATGTTTAAACAATAACCTCATAAAACACTTACAAAGCATGCAGTTCAGGTTCCGTAGACAACAATCTCTTCTCACTTATATTATTCTTTTGTATTATTCTTACATTGAGGCTCCAATTACCCAGAATTTAATTAAACTGTATAATCTCATAACAGCATCGATTGGTGTGAATGGGTCTAGGAAATGCACAGCTGACTCTTGGTAGATGTTACAACTCAACCTGTGGGGCAGGGGTGAGGTCCCAGCACCGCCCTGGGCTGACAGAGGTGTGCCTGCAGAGGAACGGAGAGAGCTGACGAAAGGCGTCGTCGGGAAATGTCGCGGTAGGGGTCCGCCTGGATTTGGAGGGTGAGCCGGCCTTTCACTGAAGTTTATGCTGCAGACCAGCAAAGCCAAGATCCTTCCATTGCTACCAGCAAAGTCCTCCCAGGTGAGCATTGGCGCACAGGCCCAGCAAGGATCCTGCCTCACATAGGCCTGGGGTGAGCAGATCACAGCCTTATCACAGCTTTGTGAGCAAAATCACTAGGCGCGAGTCTCCAAACAGCCCCCTCACTTGGTCCCCGGTGTGGGTTCAGTCCAGGATCCACAGAACAAGGCACTGGACAAGGTCCCCCCACTGGCCGCTGGGGCTCTGCCTGGACACATGCTTCCCTGCAGTGCTGCTGTGACAGCGGGGCTAAAAATGGAGAACCAGAAGCTGGCATGGGAGCCTGTGAACTACGCTGGGACTTGGTGCCTGTGATTTGTACATCTCTAGTTCTGAGGCCGGAGGTACCGGAAATACCTGTACACTGTGAGCAACATCATGGCCCATGGTCTGAAAATGAGAAGGACACTTCTCCCTGGAGGCACGATGCGACCTCTGCACTGACTTCTCACCGCAGGAGAAGGAAGGGAAGGTGACGTGCACATGTTGGGAACTGAGTGGACCCAGGTGGTCCTCATGGAGCCGGAGAGGCCATTTTCAGGTGTCTGAAGGAGTTTGGAGTGGTGGTGTTTCCCTTCTCTTTCCTGCTCCTAAAATCTGGCCCCGTTAGCCACCATCCATGTTCAGGGGTAGCCCGGCCTTATGCCCAAACAGTTTGATTCACCCACAACAATACCATGGGTCAGAATCTTAAAGCTAAACATCAGCGCACCGCAAACGAATACTGAGAATTTCCAAAGATTCCGTATGAAGGGCTCTTTGCAGGGGAGTGTCAACATTTGCAGTGCGCAGTTTCTTTGGTGGCAAAGAAGAAATCGCACTTGCTCAGCTGTGGCGCCTGCTCCGACGGGAGCCTGCGGGCCGGATGCGAGCGGTGCCCAGCTCCTGCCGTCATGGCAAACACACCGCCGACCGGGTGTTTATGTGCTTGTTGAACAAGAATGTAAATCTTTTGGAAACCGGAGCTCACATAAGGCCCGGAAAGTGAGTCTTCTCCTCCTTCCCCGCGGTGCCCCTATCTGCTCGAGTCAGCTGTGTGCCAGTGAGGAGGAGGCGCTCGGAGAAGGCGTCCAAGCCTCTGCCCGCAGAGCTGCAGAAGGCGGGCGGGAGGGGCCCACGCCGACACCTGCTTCACCAGGCCTCTCGGAAAGCCTTGCGCAGGACGGAGTCCCGCGGAGCCTGTGACTCATTTGGATTTTATTTGCTCAATCACTGCCACGTCTTGCTGGGTTTTATTTTTTCCCCTCCACAAGTTGTACGAAATTCACCTTGAACGTGAATCGTGTGAAGTTTGTTTTTCTCGGAGGCCACACCCGCTCTTCAGTGCAGTCAGGCTGGTGCTGCTTGGCCCCGAGCTTCCGTTCCACCGGACAAGGGAAGCTGTCACACGGGAGTCCAGCCCAAAGACAGGGACTGCCACCGCACGTGTCTTTATAAGCTTTCTTCCCGTGTTCTCTCAGCGTTCACACGCCAGGGCACAGTCCGTGCGACGAGGACACTCACTGCCCAGAGAAGCTGAGTCACGCGGAGGAGGCAGCCTGCAGCCGGTGTCCAGGAAACGGAAGCACCGAGCTGCAGCCTGTGCCCATTTCTGTGGGGTCAGTTTCCCCAGCCTGGACAGTTTCAAGCTCCCAGTGTGGCGTCACTGTGTGGGAAGTTGGAGATCGAGGGTACAGCTGGGTGCAGCCACCACCGGGGGGAGATCCAGGAGCTCACTAGGCCAAGGGCTCCAACGGGAAGACACAGAGTCAGGGGCCCAGCGGGGCAGGTCTGCTCAGGTGGAGCTCGTCACCGCTCCGCCCTGCACGGCACCCTCTTCCAGGCCGAAGCTTTAGGCACGTGAAAAGCAGATGCGGGCAGCTGGGCTGCTGAAGTCCAGCGCTCGGGCTGGGATGAGCTTCGGGTTGTGGTTTGCTCTCAAAATAACCCCAGAGCTCACTGCTCAGGTACAGGAACCCAGCCCACGGCAGAAGTCGGCATCCACCCCAGCGCTCTGCTTGCCTTCCAGGTGTGATTTTATTTTTAGCTCCCAGATGTTGGAGCTTCTCCTCTCCCATCAGCCCACTCTTCCTTTATTGATTCTGATCCCCGGGTGGTCTCTTTGTCTCTCGTCAGTTAGAAAAGGAGGTGTGATCTGGAGCCACAAGTGAACTCATCTGTATGACAGTCTTTGGGCCAGGTCTATGACGATCTGACTTCTCTTCTCCCAGAACCCCACTTTCCTGGAATTTCCACCTGCGTGCCCAGCCCCTTGCAGGGAGCATTTGAACCAAAACCCAGCGATGCCGCCGACGTTTGACTTTCAGCAAACCTTGATTGACGGTGACACACCATGCTTGGAGAAGGAATGAGCCGTCCCCCCACTGTGGATAATTGCTCTGTGCTAACAGTGGGATTGGCAAAGCCACACACGTCAGACACGCGCCCGCCCCGGAACAAAAAAAAAGTGGCAGTGGGAACCTGCCAGATTGCTCCACGCTGCGGGGCCGTCTCCCCAACCTCCTGAAGAAGTTATCCACTGCCTCGCACCAGCTACTCCGGCTCTCATCGGCAAGGGAGAGCAAGCCAAGGGTGGATGGTGCAGGACCTGATTTATTCCAGGGGACAGAGGGGCAGCGGCTGGTACTGCCGAGATGGTCACAATCTCTGTCGTCAAAGTTGTTTTAAGTTCTTTGTGTTCTCCGTTCCCCACATACATGACTTCCAATGGATAAATTAAAATGCACCGAGTTGTTCCAACCAGGACAGCCACCTTCGCTGAGCCCAGGGTTCTCATTCTGGAGACTGTGGCTGGCACGCTTCCTGTTTCTCTCTGGAGAAACCCAACGGAAGTGGGGCTGAACAAATGCCCACTGCGTGGGGGCTGCGAATGCGCCAGGAAGGGCATCTCCTCCCCACGCTGCTTCCCAGACCCACGAAGGCAGAAGCAGAAGTGCCCCACGGTGGCCGAGACTGTGCAGAGCCGGAACAGCCCTGAGCACTGAGGGCCAGGGAGAGTCTCGGGCTGTGGCCCAGGCAGGAAAATGGTCCATGTTTCCCTGTGCAGGTCCCATGCCCTGCTGCTTAATCCTGGGAGCCGTGGACCTTTTGCTTTTTTTGAGATGGAGTCTTACTCTGTCTCTATGCTGGAGTGCAGTGGTGAGATCTCAGCTTACTGCAACCTCCGCCTCCTGGGTTCAAGCGATCCTCCTGCCTCAGCCTCTTGAGTAGCTGGGACTACAGGTGTGGCCACTACACCCAGCTAACGTTTTGTATTTTTAGTAGAGACGAGGTTTCACCATGTTAGCCAGGATGGTCTCAATCTCTTGACCTTGTGATCCACACACTTCGGCCTCCCAAATTGCTGGGATTAAAGGTGTGAGCCACCGCACCCGGCTGGAGCTATGGACTGTTTAAGGACGTGGGCCAATTAGAAGCATGAGAAGTCTAACTGGAAGGGTTTAGGCACCAGGCTGATGACAGAGAGCCAGCCCCAGACCCGCCACTAACTCCCTGTGGGGTCTTGGGACAAAGGTTTAGCTTTTCTGAGGTTGAGTTTCATCTTGGGGAAAGACGATCTCAGAGCTGATGATGAAGAGAGGTGGCCCTATGTCCAGCACAGTGTCAGGTCCCTGGCCTGGGGTTGGGCAGGGCAGGGCAGGGAGTGGGGGCAGGCTAGGGGACAGCATCTGAGGTTCCACAGAGGATCTCAGAAGCAGGAGCCTTGGTGAAGGGGAGACTCAGGGTGATGACAGCTTCACCCTTCCATGGAGACGGAGGAGAGGCTGGGGTAGGCCCTCACGTCCTGGGATGGGGTGGGTCCATGGTAAGAAGAGATTTCCCACATTGTCGGGGCTAGCGTTGAAATGGACAGCCCAGAGAGGCTGCGAGCTCTCCATCTGAGGACAGGGGCAGTGGGTAACTTTCCCCCGAAAGTCCTGCAGGGGTGGAGACAGCCCCCCTAGGGCCCAACCTCGGCTGTGACGATGATGATGATGGTGGCTCAGAAGTCTGGTTGTCTAATTCAGATCATGTGTTTCTTTTGATTGTATGTACAATGAACAGAACCCATTTGTTCATTTGTATCTCTGTGTGCAATGGGTTATAACAGACTCTAGGCTGTTGAGTCTGTGGAAGACACAACACTGTTTTTGGCAGATTTTATTTGAAAAAAAAAAAAAAAGTTCTACACGAGGAATATTACTTTAAAATTCCCACCCAAGGATGCTGGACATTGACTAATTCTCCCATCACTTTCTGTAAATGGATA